GGATTGAGTAAGTAGAGTAACCCTGAAGTTGTATCAAGATTTTTTTCTGTTTTCATAAAGCTCCAAGGCTAGAAGCTCCCCTTTGCTTCCAGTCTTCGTGCTAAGCCGAATTAAATGTGCACACAGATGATTTCTAGCTGTCTATGTTTGTCACTCTCTGCTTTCTGTAGGTTCCCATTAAGTGGATGGCGTTGGAGTCCATCCTCCAGTGGACCTACACACATCAGAGTGACGTCTGGAGCTACGGTGAGCCAAACCTCGGCAGTCGCATTTTCTATTGCAATCCAGTATTTGGCTGGGTGCATCATTTATGCATGACAGCACAAACAAATCACATCAAATCAAGATCAGTACGATGGGTCCTCTGATATTTGTAATTGAGATGACTTTACCAACCATTCAGTGGGTTAGAGCTGTTAATAATCGTGTCCTTCAGGTGTGACCGTGTGGGAGCTGATGACTTTCGGCTCCAAACCGTACGACGGCATCTCGGCCAGTGAGATCGCCGCTGTGCTGGAGAGAGGGGACCGTCTGCCCCAGCCCCCCGTCTGCACTATAGACGTCTACATGATCATGGTGAAATGTAAGAGCCAAGGGACGGACACAGCAACAGACAGAAGTCGGGGGTAGAATTCACAAAAGGATAATGCAGCTTTGGAGCCTAACAAACCTGTACAAACTACACAGAAATAAACAATTACACCTCAAATCTCTGCAGAGTGAAACACACGACTGTGCTACAGAGCCAGTAATAGCATCTCTGTGCATTGCTGCTGTTTGGACTTTTTAAATCAGTCAAATTAGCCTTGTTGCATAAAAGAACCAAGGCAGCGGCAACAGCAAGACGCCTTTTTAAGTGAAATTATTGACATTGTCTGAAGGTGATGGTGACTTTACCTGCTCTTTACTTTTGGGATAGTTCAGCCCAAATTGGTGAAATGACAGAAATAGCCAGAATGACCATAAAGAAAAATACAAGTACCTCACAAGATAAAAGCAATACGACTTAAACTGGGAGGGTTCGTTAGGAAGTGTTTGTGCAGATGCTGTCATGTATTTTTCTCTCTGCAGGTTGGATGATTGATCCGTCCAGCCGTCCAAGATTCAGAGAGCTGATAGCCGAGTTCTCCAAAATGGCCAGAGACCCTTCTAGATATCTGGTCATACAGGTACATCTAGTGTGTTTATGTGTGAGAAAGAAAGATCGTTATTTTATTTTTTTTAAGAGGATTATGATTTATTACACCCTCAGAATGAACATAGTCTAATCTGCGTCATGTCTCAGGGTGACCTCCCCAGTCCGTCAGACAGCCGGTTTTACTCTCGCCTGCTGAGCTCAGACGACATGGAGGACGTGGTCGACGCAGAGGAATACCTGCTCCCTTACAAAGGGCTCAATAACAATGACAACCGCCCCTGCAACACGGTACACAGTGTTTCCAGTTTCTCCATCCTGTCAAGCATGAAGATATTAAAGAGAATGAATCAGGAGGAGTTATCAAGACAAAGTTCAATTCATGCCATTTCAGTAAGAGTTTCACTGGATGATCATCCAGTTATATTGTTTTGTCTTTTTTTTTTTTTTTGTCAGAACGGTCGTCCGGTCAGAGAGAACAGCATCGCTCTGCGTTACATCACCGATCCCACTCAAACCTCACTGGATAAAGAAGACAGCGCCGGCCATGGTAAACATCTCAAATGTTACTTGAATGAACAATCAGATGATTCAGAGTCTGAGGGAAAGTTTGAGGATAAAGAAGTAAAAGCAGACAAAATAAAAATCAGACTTAATAAGCATAAAAACTAATACAAAATATAAATATGAAACAATTTAAATTGATAGTTCAGAATTTGGAAATCAATTAACTAGTAAACTAATTAAAAATATACCTTCTTTTCTTACTTCAGAGTACATGAATCAGAGTATGAGTGATACCAGCCGGAGCAGCAGGCTCTCTGAGGTTTTGAACCCCAACTACGAGGACCTGAGCATGGGCTGGGGGGCCGCCTCGCTCCCCTCCCCTCAGGTGGACGCAAAGCCCTACTCCAGGGTCCCTGAGGTACCAGAGTACCTGAACACGGCTCAGAGCTCGCTCCCTCTGGCCGCCAGCGACAGCCTCGACAACCCAGACTACCAGGCGGACTTCCTGCCTCAGGCCCTGTCCTCCACCACCAATACCACCGCTTTAACGGGGAACAGTCTGTTCCTCCCAGCAGCAGAGAACCTGGAGTACCTGGGTCTGGGTATGGCACTGCATCCCCCTGTCCGCTAGGGGGCAGCAACATCCAGAGGCTTTGAACTGAAACTTTGATGCTCTGTACAAACCAAATGTCGAGACTTTAATGAGACTTTAATTGAGACTGCTGACAGTATTTTATTTATGTTTTATTGTGAAGTGTACCAGGAAATGGGGACTGAGCAGCAGCGTCGTGACAGCCTTCAGTCACTGAAGGAGAGGAGAGGTTTTTCAAACTGTGAACTTTAAATAGCTTCTTTTCACATTTTTCACTTCACAAGGAAACAGAAGCGCGATGATTACCGAACAGCAGAAGATGTCAAGACAGAATTTTCTGAACAAAGCACAGCAGGAAGATCGTGACTTAAGTAGCCGGATGGATGTTTGGACAAAAGCGCTTCAATCATTTTCACTTAATCATCCACTTCATCTTCTCTGTGAATCCTTCCCTTTGCATGCTTTTGTCTGTCGTCATACAGTAAAAAAAAAATGGAAGCACAAAGAAATCAAATCAAATCTGAGACTTTAAGAGTTCATACTCTGATGTTTGCTAACGCACAGATTCTCCTTGAATTAACCAAAAAAAAGACAAACTGGGGATTTAATCTTGAGATTAGAAATGTCTAACTATGAGATGACATTAAAAGACACCATATGGGGGTGCTGGTGGTGTAATAAAGGCATAAAAAAAGAAAAATACAAATTTAAAAAAGACACCATATGTGTCTGGTAGCTCCTCTTCGATCATGACGTTTTCATTATAAATACTACAACAGGACCATATTCAGGCATGACATGATAAATCCTCCATCCATCAGGTTTCAGACACAGTGGCGCCCCCATCTGTTCATGTAAAAGCAGCTCAGAGGAACAAAAAGGAAAACTGAGTTGTAATAGGAGATGTTTTAAAAGGCCAATTGTCTTGTAATAGCAAGATATGTTTCATGTTTAGTCAGTAACACTTTACTGGAGGACCCTTGGAAGCATCTGGATACAACAGATCTACATTTAAAAAATAGTAAACTCTTTAATTTCATTCTGAGCAGACAGAAGAGCCTTTACAGGTTTGTAGCTGTACACTGTCAGAACTTTTCCTGTGAAGATGTTTTATGTGCTACACTGAGAGTCTGTTTATACAGCAGACACTTAAATGTGCATGCAATGATGTTATAATTAGCTTATTCTTATTTGTTTTAGGACTGTAGCTGCTCAGTTGTGGGTCATACTGTATGGATAATATGCTTCCCAATTATTAAAATAAAGTGTTAAAGCTTATTGATTAATGAAAAAGAGCAGATGCAAGGCTGCACGGTGCCCGTTCTCAAAGACTCCTCAAGCTGTCATTTATCGGTGCGTTCATATCATTCTGTAGACATTTCTTTTCAGCTGTTTGAAGAGCTTTTATGCACTAGACCAGAGGGTTTTTTTTTTATGGACAAACAGACAGGTGCACTTTGGGAAAATAGTGTAAAAGAAACAACATTAGTGTTCTCATTTTGATCAAATACTGTTTGTTTTTGTGACATATTCCCGCTTGAACCAGACAAGATGTTCTTCAAGGAGTCCAATCACAAAAAAACTGTAAAATCTCATCCAAAAAGTAATCGTTTGATATTGTTGTCCATTGACTTGACAAATACTCAGTTGATGTCTTTTATACATTTGTAAATGTTTTTACTGAAGTATAAAAGGTCTTTTATTTTTTATTCTCCTTTTACTTGACCAAAATGAGCCAAACTCTGACTTGCTGTTACTGCACACTGACTCTCTACTGTTTAAGTTTGTCACCACTGTTTGTGTAAATGTTACTGAAGCTTAAGGCTGGTTGATGATTCATCCTCAGGACTGGTTGTTCAATCTAGATCTAGATCACAGTGATCCAAAATTTGAACCATTTCTGCTTTCAGGAGCAGCTAATCCATTCTACTTTTTGCCCCCATGTTTCCCTAAATAACACTGTCAGCTTAACCTGATCCAGATACAGACTTGTCACCACTTCTGGATTACTTTTAGGCTTCTCTCAATGAGATTTCTTTATTTATTCTTTTTCCATATACCTGTCAAAGTCATGCAACATCTTAGAGGAAATAAAGCAGACGGGACTCACAGTCTGACATCGAAAAGGATGATGTTGAGTAATTGAGCCTGAAGATATTGTCAACCCGACTGCACTCATCTTCCATTAAAAAAGACACTGTGTCCATTATGTGTGGAATGTTTGTGTTTTCTTGTGTGTAGAATTTGAGCTTTAAATGTTATGAAATGATTTGTGATGACCATTGAGAAATCTTTGTTGTAAACAGGGTTAAGCCAAACTGCTCACATGGCCTCCTTTTTGTGAATAAAACATCAAAGTTGTAGTTTCTGTTTGACATTGTGACGTTGCTTGAATCCAGTATCGAGTAGTTTCATGATTATGTGGAATTGAATTGATTTATTCAGCAGGTTTCAATATTTCAGAGCAGGACTTTGATTGATTGATTGATTGATTGATTACATTTTTTTCAGACATATCAAATAAAATCAAACATATCAAAAATACAAAACAAAATGAAAAGCACGAAAATACAATAAACAAAAAACAATGTTCAAATTATTTCACAAAGAAAGAAAAAGAAAATTACATATATTCAATTGATATGCCTGAAAAGGAGTAGGATACTACTTTGGATTGGAGTGTCAACATAGAGCCGTCTGTTTTTCCTCAGAACAAGCCGCTATTTTATGAGACTCATTTCACCCAAAAAAAACATTCATTTAGTATATTGTAGTCCAAGATCTTTATTGAGTGTTGCAGTGCAGAAAACACATCTCATCCCAACAGAACATGGTGAACAAAATTGTTGTCGAGACTGAATAAAGGCTCAAATAAAGGAAAATGCACACAGTGATCACGATTCTTTTTTTTATTATTATTAATCACTTCAAAAGTGAGTACAGAACAGAAAAAAAGACTTGAATATACAAAACACCCAGACAAAAATAAAAGCCGCTGATAATCATTTTAGCATCAGAGAACAATTTCTTCCTCAACGCAACTCAAATCTTGCTGTACTGACTATCTAATGTCTAAATGTTCAAACCATACTTACTTACATACATAGGTGTATGGAACAGTGTTGACAAAATTAAAAAATAAACAAATGTCCAAAATGTAATTACTTTGGGTGAAGTTTTCTTATTGTGAACGATGACGCAGACAAACTGTGATGATGATATTAAGTGATTAATAATTGTTGCCGGGATATATTGGTTTGTCTACGTTCGTTTACGCTGTTCCCACCACCTTTGCCACCAACTTCCTGTTCACCCTGTGACCTATAAACACCTGACAATATCACCTGACCAATCAGATACGACAATCACAATCTAGTCCCCAATATAAGTAAATAAACATACAAAACATTATCATTGAAATATGATACATAATTATGCAGTACACCCACTAATTCGGCTCCTACACTTGCATTTTCACTTGCCTAATGGTAAAACCACCTGAACCTAGAACCTATGAACCTAGATTTCAATATGTGCTAAAAAAAAAAGAAATGAACATCAACCTGCTGTTTAGGAGGTGATGTTCAGAGTTTCAGACCAGCTTTAAAAAGAGTGGTCTGTCTCAGATTATGATTCTTAGCTGAGGGAATCTTTCTGTATGAAAACATCTCGATTGAAATGTTTACTTTAGTCATTTAATGAAGCTCTGCAGCTTCAGCAGCATGATCTGTTCGTATCTCTATACATTTCTGTGATGTCTAAGGATCAGGTTCATGACAGAAAATCTGCCCACCTTGTTAACTTCAGGTTATATTAAGCCTTTACATGGTACAAAGCAGACAATCCATACAATGACTGAATGATGATGATCCTTCAAAATGACGATGTGGATCATCATTTGAAATTAAACAGTTTCACATATCAACTAGTCTTTATTGATTGCCACAGATCCTTTTCAATCAATAAAATACATGAAACTCTGATGGGGTCAAATCTTCACAATCTTCGCAATTCCCAAAGTTGTAATAATGGGCATCATGCTTTGGTATCTTTTATTATTGCAGCTGCGGTTATCTTTCCCTAGCCGCAGCAGCAGTGTCTACACTTCTGTGCTTTTTTTCAAAGCGATTTTCCCACTAAATGCGATAACTGTGTTAACTGTGTTACTTTTAGAAAAAGAGGAAGAAAAGCATGGATAACAAGGGCTGTGTACAGTTTCACGAGCCACGTAACTTAAAGACCGCCCGGTTACATCGAACTTGCTTCGTTGTTGCCCTGACCTCTCTGGATCAAGACACAGCTGATCCTCTCTCAGTAGAACTCCTCTCTGATGACTCAGACACAGATCATTTCCATCTGAGGAGAGAAGGAGACACACAAAGGAGGTCAAAAGTTAAAGAGTTAAAACAGACCCGCGTATAAAGACCAGCAGTGATTTCGCTCTTTGCAGACCAGCACAGAGCCGCTGTGTAGTGCATTCAGTTGCCTTTCTTCATTTCTTCTTTCTTTATTCAGTTCCCATTTAAAATATTTTAATCTACTTTTGAAATGTTTAATTAAAAAATATGTTAAAGGTAGGGCTGGTAATTTTGACAGACACACTTTTTGCACGAGCCCACTCTCAAAGCATGAGCTGAGGTCCGCTTCTGGACCAATGGTGCTTGTGCATCTAAGTGAGGGGCGTGGCTTTTGAGGGTGCACAGAGGGGAGGGTGTGGGTTCAGACAGAGTACTTTTAAAATCATTCTAGTTTTCGAAAATTACCAACCCTGCCTTTAATATTGATTCAAGCTTATTTGAACAAATGAAACCATGATCAGTTCTTTATTTTTCTGCGTTTCTGTCTAATCCTGAAGCCTGTCATTGTTCTGGAAAGCCACCACTGGGTCTTTGCTTCATACTTAATTGCTTTGTTACAATATTGTTGACACCACGAGCACTCAGAACATACTCTACTGACCTCAGAGTCTCCAGTCTGCAGTTTGGACTCTTCACAAGCTCACACAGCAGCTTCACCTCTGAATCCTTCAGGTTGTTGTTACTCAGGTCCAGCTCTCTCAGATGGGAGGGGTTGGACTTCAGAGCTGAGGCCAGAGAAGAACAGCTGATCTCATACAAACTGCAACCCAGCAATCTAGATAAAAAAAATAAAAATCATTCCGATAAAACATTTTCGTCCAATGAGATGTGTTCAGGTTTAATAAGTGTAGCTCAACAGTTCATTGAAGAATCCCTAAAAGAAGTAGAGTTGCTTTGTTGTCTACAGACTCATACAAATGTCACCACACCATTCATACACACATTCATGCCAACACAGATTAATCGGAGGCTGCTGATCTGAGGATTAATATCTGTTATCAGACTTTTTTTTTTCAAAATCACAAGTATATCAAGAGTAAATTAATTTGAATATTTCAGAGAAAATGCTATATACCAATGTGAATCAAACAAAAATAAGAAACCTTCATTTACTTAAACAACTAACAGTGATCCCTTTTTAGTATTTTCTATGGTGGCTGGGAAAGGCCAAACATAATTACAATGTTTGGCCTTTCCAATCGGACTGAAATTTGTCTGAGTATTTTGTGATTGCAGACTCTAGTTTCAATAAAACATGAATAAGTGATCAAAACGAAGTAGACAACAGTCACATACGTTTGAATATTATATAGGTTCGATGTTAAATACACACAACATCCGGGATTGTCACAAAAATACATTTAAATAACCTCAGAGTCTCCAGTCTGCAGTTTGGACTGTGCAGAAAATCGCACAGCAGCTTCACTCCTGAATCCTTTAGGCTGTTGTAACTCAGCTCCAGCTCTCTCAGATGGGAGGGGTTGGACTTCAGCGCTGAGGCCAGAGAAGAACAGCTGATCTCTGACAAACTGCAGTAACTCAACCTGAATAAAGTACAACAAAACAAATATTTAGAAGGGGATGTTCCAACTTAAAACCATTCAATGTTTGACAAAGAAGTTCAATTAAGTGTAGCATGCTCAAATCTTATCTTGTGCGTGTACTTGAATAATCCTGAATAAAAATTCTATCATACAGATCTTTTTCTTGCAGTAATGTGGATAAACGTCTAATTTTGGTTCAGTTTGCTAAATGGACAATACCTTTCACATTAAAGGTGGAATCTCCCATTGCACCAACTACAAAAAACAAAATAGGTCTAAATAGTTTTTGTCATTATGGGCAAACACTGTACAAGGGTGAATTTTTGTATTATGCATCTGTTTTGATTTTATGAATGATACATGTTATCCATAGTTAGATGCGTAGCTGACCTCTGAAAAGAGGCCGTGATGTAACATTTTGTCATTAGGCTTAAAGCCCGCCTCTCAGCCTGTCGTTAGGTGGACTGAAAGTTAGGCTGAGACAGGATTTACAGCATGGCGGCTGCTGAGGAGCCTCCTGAGCCCCCTGCCGTAACAGATGGGTGACGTCACTCAGGCCTCTTACATTAATATTTACACTCTATGGTGTGTGTGTTTGTGTGTGTCAGGTCTGAGCGATTAACAGCATTTTCATCGTCATCACAATGAGAAAATGCGCAAAGGACACCTGAGAGCCGTTGAATTAAAAAAACATGCATATACTTTTACAAATGAGAATTTAGAATTTTTCAGTATTCCGATCAGAGGGATAAAGGACAGGTTTTGTCAGGTACTTTTTCCAAGTTATTTCAACTTCTTGATGAGGAACAGTCAAGGCTCTTAGAAGGTCTGGGGGGGATTTTTTTAGTGCATGATTTTCCTAGTTATCTTCAGATTGTAGCTCAATAGAAGAAGAGGAAATTACATTATATTTATTAGAGCAAAAATGTCAAAATGGGATCTGACCTCAGAGTCTCCAATCTACAGCTTGAACTCCTCAGAAAGCTGCACAGCAGCTTCACTCCTGAATCCTGCAGCTTGTTACTGCTCAGCTGCAGCTCCCTCAGATAGAACGGGTTGGACCACAGGGCTGAGGCCAGATTTGAACAGCTGATCTCTGACAAACTGCAGCCACTTAATCTAAGTAAAGAACAAATAATGTAGTTGAAGATCCATGTGTGCAATTAATATGTTCAAATTCTAAATGTAAAGCTCAAGATTGTTAGTGACAGGAGTGAAAATTAGCTTTTCCCACCAATGAGCATTACAAAAAAAAAAAAAAAAAAAATAAATATGAAGTAAAGCCAAATAGCAACTTTATGGTGAATTATAAACATAAACCAGTAGTTAATTAAATCATAAACTTACCTCACAGTCTCTACTCTACAGTTTGGACTCTGCAGAAACTCACACAGCAGCTCCACTACTGAATCCTGCAGCTCGTTCTCACCCAGATCCAGCTCTCTCAGATGGGAGGGGTTGGACCTTAGCACTGAGGCCAGAGAACAACAGCTGATCTCTGACAAACTGCAGTACCTCAACCTGAATAAAGTACCAAAAAACCTTAAGAAGGTGATATTCTGACTTAAAATCATTCAATGGTCAATAATTAGTGTAGAGCTACAGTGACAGCATGTTTATTATTATGTGAATAATTTAACTTAAAAAGACAACATCCCTACTTGAAATCATTAAGGGGAGAATTCCCTAAGCATTGATTGAAGTTGTTTATAGCACCCTAAATAGCGTATTCTTGCCTGATATCTACTTCATCTTAAGGTTGGATTCACAAAGCAAATGCACCAATGATATTCTAGGACAAACACACCCAGGAATGTCTCCACATGAAAAGTTAGTAAACATAAAAATTAGTCCATTTAAAAAGGGGTAGAGCCCATGACAGCACTAGACAGCCCTGAACTGATTCTTGTCCTCATTGAAATCAGAATAATATTATTTACAGACTGTATTTGCAAACATTTAAACACACATCAAACTAAAAGTGATAACAATCATAAGTATGCATTAGGGCTCATTTATTTACAAAAAGGCCAGATTTGCAGTGAATATCTTAATGACAAATTTATATGTGCTCAAGCACAACTGGACAATAATGACATTGTCTGTTCTGCAGCACAGGAAGGGGTCTATTTAACACAAGGTATGTGCTTTGAAAAAAGAGGCATTCTTTTTCTCTTTGCACAGGTAAACAGGCGCAAAAGCCGCACAATCATTGAATGAATTAAGCCCTGAGTGAATAATTTCAGCCATATTTCCCCATTTCAGTGTCACACAAATGATACTCCATTTAAATCAGCAGACATTTACGAATGGATTCTGACCTCAGAGTCTTCAGTATACAGTATGGACTCTGCAGAAAATCCAACAGCAGCTTCCCTCTGAACCTGCAGCCTGTTGTAGCTCAGATCCAGTTCTTTCAGGTGAGAGGGGTATGACTTCAAAGCTGAGGCCAGAGAAGAACAGCCGATCTCTGACAAACTGCAGTGATTAATCTGTATATAAAAAAAGATTACCGTACGTTACTGTCAATTATTTCTTTATTAGACAAAAGCTACAGTAGTAACAAGAGTCAGTGAACTTACCCCAGAGTCTCCAGTTTACAGTATGGACTCTCCAGAAAATCAGACAGCAGCTTCACTCCTGAATCCTGCAGCTTGTTATCACTCAGTTGCAGCTCCCTTAAATAGTAGGGGTTGGACTTCAGAGCTGAAGCCAGAGAAGCACAGCTGGTCTCTGACAAACTGCAGCCACTTAATCTGGGTAAGGAATAAATGACAAAATGTGAATAATGTAATGTTTTCAAATGAGAACTCCAGGTATGTCTGCAGAATCAGGTCTTGAGTTGCTCTTTCTTAAATGTTGCCTGGTAATGTTGCCTCATCTTTTGTGATGACTGTTTTAGCATCGTTGCAATGAGAATACTATTTCAAAAACCTCGATGGACTAGTGCAAGTGAGCAATTTTATAATGCAGGAGTTAACACTTGTCAGGCTCTTATGAGAAACTTAATGTACAAATGTATCTGCCGATTGAAAGATTCTCACAATTCCATTATTATGCTGTGACAAATCCCAGTCATAGTTCTGTGCTACAAACAAGTGGATTGTACTAAATGGAAGTAGTCATTGGCCAAGACGGATCAGTCATTTTGTCAAACACGGGGGCACCTACATTCGTGTACATCACTCTAGGCTTCAAAAGGTAGACAATCCCAGAGCAATGCTGGGAGAAAGTGGACAAACAGATGGAGGTAACTGAGACTCAAAACACATTACCTGAAACTGAGCTAAGTGATAACTTTAACACTGAAAATAAAAGTCAGGAAAAACCGGCTTAATGTAGAGGACAACAGTGACGCCTTCAGACAGTAGAACAGTCTAGAGGGGATGAGAATGGTAGTTCTTCTGACACAACGCAAACACGCCCAATTAAGACTTTTGAAAGACTGCAGCTGAAAATTGGAAATGGGGTTATCTTCACAGACAATGATACTGGTCAAACACACATTGGGAAAATCCTCAGCCGGGCAGCAAGGCAGGAAAGGCAACAGGTAAACACAAATACTAGTACAAACTACAGTACACAGAGCCTGAAGAAACAGCATCAGTTAACTTGGTACAAGTGAATGATGTTCAGGTAGTAACAGCTGAGCAAGAACAATTATGCACTGACAGGCACAAAGATGAAATACTTATTGTAAATGACAACATTTTCATGTCTGCCAAACATGCTGTGCTTAACAACTGGAAAAAGAATTAAGTGTTTGAAGAGGTGAAGGATGACGGCCAGAAATGCGTCTACAAGGTGGGTTTGCACTCTCAAGGAAACATCTGATGGTGTTGTACCAAAAGCTAGATTAGCTTGCAAAAGGCTTTGAAGAAATGAACACTCAATAACTCCAAAAAGACTCACTACCTGTGCCTCAGTGTCTCTGAAAATGATTATGGCATATGCCAAAAGAAGTGGCCTCTGAACTCCATGGCCATTAAAGCAGCCTTTCTACAAGGTTAAGAGTTGGCTCGAAATGTGTATGTCAGGCCTCCCCAAGAAGCCCAGAGGGAAGGCCATCTTTGGAAGTTAAAAAAATGTGTTTATTTACGGTTTTGTGTGTGGGTGGGGGTGGGGTAGAGGGTATTTGTAACAAACAGATGTATACCATATGATATCGCTGATTTTATTTTTTTTAAATAAAATTGAAAGTCATTAAAAAAAAAAAGTGTGTTTATGGTCTTGCAGATGCTTCTCTGTATTGGTATAACAGAGTAAAAGACACAATGTGCAAAAGTTGGGAGCCACTGTGTCACAAGTTGATCCAGCAGTGTTCTACTGGCTGGATGACAATTTGATGGGGATTCTTGCTTGTCACGTGGATGATTTCATTTGGGGTGGTATAAAGAAATTTTCCCTCACTTGAAAGTTGTTTTCCAGGTTGGACATGAATAATACAACAGCTTCAACTACAGTGGAATGGACATTCACTCTCTGAAGGATGAGATACAGGTACAACAAAGTATGTACATAAAAATCTGCAGCCCATTCCTGTGGACCCCACCACAGCAACAGCTCCTTTAACAGAAACTGAAACTGAGATGCTCAAGTCAAAGATTGGCCAAATAATGTGGGTGGCAAGGCAGCGTAGACCCGACATTTTGTGTGATCAGGGATGAAAAAGGTGACATGGATCCAAACATCCCAGGGGGGGTCCGGGGGCATGCTCCGCCGGGAAGATTTTTTTTTATTTTTTTAGATATCAGCTTTAAAATGTGAATTTACAAACAATTTTAGCATTCAAACCTACTAAAGAAGCAAACAATAAGAAAAACACAATTGCTTGTCGATATCTATGTTCTAACTTTTTGATAAAGCTTCGGTGAAACATGAGAAACCTGTGCTCCCAACCTTCAGTCCCTTTTTATAAATGGGATGAATTTGCAGAACAGGGCTTACTATGTTCTACTAAAGGGTGATGTGAAGGGCAGTCACTGTGCAAGTAGCTCTCAGGGCAGAGTCTGAGAGAACATAATGCAGTCATCAAGTATGACAATATTTTCACATATCTTCTATCATAAAATATGTAACATTGCCAATATATGTTACAACCTGAAGTTTTGATCCTGCTGATTTTCATTTTTATATTCCCTGGCCTTATTACATGTGTTGACCAGCTGTCACTTTAATGTTGCCTGGGATAATAATGAACCAGAAAGCTGTATGAAGTTACCTTCAAGCTAGCACACATTTCTCTCAACATCTTTACCTATGGCTACCAAACGGTAAATATGATCAGACATAATGTTTAACAGAAAGCCTGGCTTGCTAGCCAGACTTCGAATCTTTCCACAGTGTTATCACGGAAAAATAACGTTATGTAAATTAGACATGTGCTGCACATTGCGACTCATTGAATCAGGTTTCATGCTTCTTGCGGTCGGCACAGCAATATTGCGCAATCGTGGTCGGCGCGAGAATGATCCGCGGAGGATCTCAGCGCCCAGCTGCGCACCGTGCCAACCGCATTGCAATGATTGGCTACAGGGCCCGGAAGTACTTTCTTCAGGCCGTGTTAAGCAACCAGAGCGCTCTGACCGCAATCAGTATGAAACGACTCGACGTTTGCAGGGACCGTGCTCGCCGCGTCATAACCCCCCCCAAATATTTTTATTGCAGATCTAAATGAATCACACATATGACCTATTTGGGATCCAAAACGGCGAATTTCGCCGAAAGGTGACAAGTTTGCACCCCTGTGTTCAGACCTTGCACAGTGCAAACAAACTAATCAGAAAACTGCAATCAGAAGACGTGAGCTTGAGGTTTCAGCACCTTGGAGAAGACCGCTCGCTAAAACTAGTTGTGTTTAGTGATTCCTCAATGGGTAACCTTCCTGATGGAGGCACTCAAGGTGGACACCTCATCATGCTGATGAAAATTGACAAACCTTTTTTTTTTTTTTTTTTTTTTTTTTTTTAAATGTTATGCATTATAATTTGTTAAATGAACACAAAACAAAACACACAGCTGACCTCAGAGTCTCCAGTCTGCAGTTTGGACTCTCAAGTCCAGCAGACAGCAGCTTGACTTCTGAATCCTGCAGCTTGTTGGAGCTTAGGTCCAGCTCCCTCAGATGGGAGGGGTTGGACTTCAGAGCCGAGGCCACGACTTCAAAGTGAGTCCCTGAGAGACCAACGGCACAAAGTCTGGTGACAGATAAAATTAGTTAAAACTGTCAATTTATAAATAAATATTATCACCATGATTTAAAACACATGGACAGAGATGTATTTGCATTCACTGTTTATTGTAACAATCTTTAGTTTTACATCTCCCTTTATCTCCTTTTTAGCTTAATCCATGTTCAATCCTCTTTTTTATGTGGTATTAATATATTATAGGAGATGAAATAATTACTGAAAACATTTACAGGCCACACTCTTAAGTACTGAAGATTTGTGTAGGTTTGTGTAAAGCTCCTTCAGACAAAGAAAGGTGGTTAATAGATTAAATAAGTTTCCTTTATTCAATAACTACAGTGGATTCTATAAATATTAACTTACACAGCCTTCTTGCAGTTCCTCACAGCTGGAATCAGTCTCAGCCATCCCGCTTGTGTTGTGTTGTACTTCTGCAGGTCAAACTCATCCAATACCTTCTCTGACATCTGCAGCATGTAGGCCAGAGCAGAGCAGTGGATTTCAGAGAGTTTCTTCTCTGATCTGTTCTCTGACTTCAGGAACTCTTGGATCTCTTGATGTACTGAGAGGTCGTTCATCTCCATCAGACAGTTGAAAATGTTGATGCTTCTGTCAGGAGAAATTGTGGTCTTCTTCTTCTTCAGGTTGTTGATGATTCTTTGGATCATTTCTGGACTGTTGTCTGTGCGAACCAGAAGGCCTCCTAAGAGTATCTGGTTAGACTCCAGAGACAGGCCATGAAGGAAGCGAACAAACAGGTCAAGGTGGCCATTTTTACTTCGCAGAGATTTTAATGTTGCTCCGTTAATGAGAACATCCAGGGTTGTATCTACGTGTTTTTGCCCGAGAAAAGATGCCAGTTCCTTTCTGTTCCAGTCTGTGTAACAATGCAACGTGTAGACTGCAGCCAGGAACTCCTGAACGCTCAGATGAACAAAGCAGTAGACTTTTTTCTGGAAGATCACACACTCTTGTTTGAAGACCTCTGTACAAACTCCTGAGTACACCGAGGCCTCTGTGACATCCAGACCACACCTCTCTAGGTCTTCTTGGTAGAACATGATGTTTCCATTCTTTAGATGTTCAAATGCCAGCCTCCCCAGCTTCAGAAGAACCTCCCTGTCAGCCTCCATCAGCTCATGTGAATTTGTCTCATGTCCCTGATCATACTTGATCTTCTTCCTCTTTGTCTGAACCAGCAGGAAGTGTGAGTACATGTCAGTCAGGGTCTTGGGCAGCTCTCCTCTCTGCTCTGTGGTCATCATATGCTCCAGAACTGTAGCAGTGATCCAGCAGAAGACAGGGATCAGACACATGATGTGGAGGCTCCTGGATGCCTTGATATGTGAGATGATTCTGCTGGACAGATTCTCATCACTGAACCTCCTCCTGAAGTACTCCTCCTTCTGGGCGTCAGTGAAGCCTCGTACTTCTGTTAGCCTGTCAACACATGAAGGAGGGATCTGATTGGCTGCTGCAGGTCGAGAGGTTATCCAGATGAGAGCTGAGGGAAGCAGATTCCCTTTGATGAGGTTTGTTAACAGTGTATTTAATGATGACTTCTGAGTGACATCAGAAACAACCTCACTGTTTTGGAAATCGAAATAAAGTCTGCTTTCATCCAGGCCGTCAAAGATGAACAACAGTTTACAGAGAGCGAGCGTCTCTGCTGTGACCTTCTGTAATGTTGGATGGAAAACATGGAGCAGCTGAAGAAGACTGCAACGCTCATTTCTGATCAAGTTCAGCTCCCTGAATGAAAGCAGAATCACCAGACTGACGTCTTGGTTTCCTGAGCCCTCTGCCCAGTCCAGAGTGAACTTCTGCACTGAGAAAGTTTTTCCAACACCAGCGACGCCGTTTGTCAGAACCACTCTGATGTGTTTCTGTTGGTCAGGGAAGGCTTTAAAGATGTCCTGGCACTTGATCGGTGTGTCATGGAGGGTCTTCAACTGGCAAGCTTTCTCAAGCTGTCTCACCTCATGTTGCATGTTCACCTCTTCACTCTGCCCCTCTGTGATGTAGAGCTCAGTGTAGATCTTGTTGAGGAGGGTTCTAATTCCTGCTTCATCACTTCCTTCAGTCACACGTTCACATCTACTCCTCAGATTGACTTTATGTTCATCCAAAACCTCCAGCAGACCAGTTTTTGCTGAAAAAGAAAGTTTGAGACAAAACAAAGAAAACTTGAGCTGGTAAATACGGCAATTGCCTAGATTATATAGTGACTAATCAAGAGGGTATACATTAGAAAAGATTATTAAGACCATCTGATATAAATAGTGCTGTGGAAGTCACAATTTCTCCTGAACCCAGAAGCTTACAAGCTGATGACAGTCATATCTGCTGGAGCGGATGTGTTTTCAGACTTGAAGGCATAAGCACAAAGGTGTAAAGTCTTACATTGTTCAGTGCTGGTCTGGCTGAGTATCTGCAGTCCAGGTCCTATTCTGGTTCCACATTGTGGACAGTAGACTCCTGTTGGACCAGACTGGGTCCAGCAGAAGGTAATGCACTGTCTGCAAAACCAGTGTCTACAGCTGGTAAAGACTGGATCAATCAGGACGCCCAGACACACAGCACAGCAGGATGGCTGCTCCTCCATAATACGACTCCTCTTCCTCTGTCTGTGAAGACATGTCTTAATATTAAACTGATCGTTGACTGTTCAAAATATGAAGATTTCACAAATATAATCTAGACGCTCAGATGATAAGAGAGAGCCGGTTATGTGTTCCCTCTTATGTTTGCATTCAGCTCATAGACTCTAGTGAAAATTATTCATTGTATTTCAACCCTCCTCAGTTCATAAAGCCTAATAGTAGCTTCACTGACTCCTGAAGAAATTATGAACTGAACAAATAACCACAACCAGTGACTATTTCATTATCTTCCTTGCTGCCTTAAGAAAACATTGAATGATCTTGTTAGGAAATGTAATAATCCAGCCTGTCTGTCTGTGTCTGAGGAGCGACCTTTGTGAACCTCCATAATGATGTTTTAATTTTAAGCCTGTTATATGTTCATTTCCAATAGGCTATCCTTTTGATCAGTTTAACATTAACCCTTATAAATCAGTCAACCAATCAGAACTCAACCCACAAATCATTATAGTCTGGTTCAGAAGGTCAGTTCCTCTTCCTTCCTCCACTCTGGATGGAACAACATGGCAGATCGGCGTCCGTAATGGTGATCGTCATACTCATTAAACTTTAGTAACAAAGATTCAGCACTCAGTAGTGAGTTTCTTAAATTGTTTTTGTGTTTGTTAACTTCAAAACTCCCGCAACAGCTGCGGCAACTTCCAATACAAAATCTCCTTTGAAAAGCTGCTAATTTAAACCACATTGTGGATCAGAAAAGTTGCTTGTATTTAATTTTGTATTGATTATTTTGTAAGGAATTCTATTAAATTCAGTTTTATCATTTACATTTTTTTATGTATTCTTTATTTTACGGGGGGGGGGGGACTATGTTAGGCCATAATCCATCTGATTCATACACACAAGCTGTAAGTTTCCTGCCATGCACATAGCGACACAAACACTACTGTGACTATGGCTGGGTGATAGGACTAAAAAAGTTATCACGATAAAGAATGTCATATCAGATAATATCGATAACTATCACGATCAGATTTTTGTTCCTGTAAGTTTCCATTCCGCTCCAAACTTTGGTATACCTGCCTATCCATATCCCTGCGACATGATTGGCTGCTCACTTTTTTCTTCTTTGATGGCAACTAGCATATAAGGCACATTAGCACCCCTGTTAATAGTGTTTTGGTGGTGTAGTTACAGGTTTAAATATATCAAACATTTATCAATGTTATATTTATAATGAGAAAAAAATTATATCGCGATAATTATCGTTTTATAGCCCAGGCCTAACTGTGACAGCCACTTACACAAAAGCAAACATGTCAGCAGCGTAAAAGCAAGGTGCTCATCAGCAGAAGAGAGGAAGCATTGACCTACTGCACAGTTAACAAGGATTGTTTTCCAGCACTTGCTCCTCTTCCCCAAAAGTGCCTCACTGCCCAAGGGCAGATCTGCGCATCTGGTGTGTCAGCATGTACTGTATGTGTGCTCGCGCTTTTTTTGGGGGTGTAAAGTACATTTAATTGTTATTTCATATTTTTTGGTTACGGTGACAAAACCTCAGCATGTGAGCGTGTGTTTAATAAGTTTTACCTGCTGTGAGACGTATCACTTTGCAGGAAATTTTATAAATGAATGCATATTTATAATAAACTGATATGAAACAACATAAAAATGCTAATCATGTCTTATTTTAATAGATAATTTAACATGTATGTTTTTTGTTTTGACTCTACATACATGAAGACACTTCCACCAAAAATGATGGCATACAAAGTAAAAGGTAATAAAAGGTTTGACAAAGAATTAGCGTTTGTGCATGTTAACGTCAGCTTGTCTGGGTGAGTAACTCACAGATACTGAGACAAAGTAGGCTCGAATCATTTCTCTTTAAATCACTTAATGTAAGGGAGCAAATACATCTGAGTAGAAATGGAAGCATTCTTTTCTGTGGGGCCAGGCTCATGACTGCAGTTTAAAGGAGGTTCTTTGGATAATAACTCTTCAAACTGTAACTAAAAGGAACATTGAAACCACTTATTTCTTGGTGACATACTGTACATTTAAATATAATTGTATTATTTAAAAAACTAGGGCTGTCAGCATTAACTATCTAATCACAATTAATTTAGGTCTAAAATTAAAAAAATAATTCATTTTTTCAATCTCGATTAATCACATGCTATTTCGTCCCTTTCGGCGCACCATAGAGAAGCCTTATCAGTTTTCCCTATAGTCACAGTGACGGAAAAGAACGACACTGCTAAATCTTTGAATGTCTCATTTCACTTTAAAAGACAGCTAGGATGACGAATCAAAAGTAATATCCACCCTATGATGACACCTTGTTATTTAGTTTATGATCCATAACTGGTTCCTTTTCTGTGGTTAAGTTAATGTCGTAGCCCAAAAACAACCAGGTCTTTTCTTTATTTAAAAAAAACATGAATTCAAACAGCAAATGAAGTACTCTAAGCTTAAGACAATACACACATTTCAAATAAAAGTGCACTGCTGATGTTAATTAGGTGGTTTAAACGTTTATATCAGTTCTCTAACATAAGATCATATCTTTCTAGGTGCCTGACTTCTGTCACTGACACAAACAGGGTGATGATTTATGTGGAAATCAGTTGATTTTAGTTAGCTGATCCATTTAAGTATATATATAAAATAATCTGAAGTGAAAGCAATTCAGTGACTTCTTACTTTGAGTGTGAAAGTTCAGGATCATTTCTGAAGTTTAATGGAAATTCTTTGGAGAGGTCACTACTCATAGACAGACAGCTGGGTACAGGAGACTCTGATCTCGTCTGCTGGACTCAAATCTGTAAAAATCAAACATGTTTTATATTCATTAGGGATGTGATTGGGAAAGGACAAAAACAGGAACCCACCCCCATTCCAAAGAATAGAAATGTATTAAATTCTTATAGTAAAGTATGTGCAACATTTTACATATAAATATAGCAGAAATCCAGTATATCCTTTGTAAATGTCTCTCTGAGTTATGACTGTCTACAATGTGTGAGTAGCGTGAGTCCTGTTGGCTGTATTGTTGTCAGAGCCATATTTACACAGCGTTTAGATGGACAGGACGGCCTGCCTCATCCCCTTGTGTATAAAATCTATTTAAGTCAAGTAGTAGAGAAAAGAAGAATAACATAGCCTACTCACAGTTTATTTGAATGTCAAGTAAGCGTTTTTAGATCATGGTCATTCTGTATCAATTTACATGCAATGTGAAACAGGCTAACTAAAGAGGGCTAACAGTAGCCTGCTAACACAAAAATGCAGGCCACGGGCAACTGTAGCTCGAGCCAAGGACAATTTTGTCCTCCGCTTACACTTAATGGTGTGTCAGTATGGTGCATTCCAATTTATAACTACTTTGTGTGAACGTGAGGAGGGGGTTGGTGATGTGTCGCTGGGGGAGTGCAGAGGCTTCAGAATAGCGAAAGGTGCACCGAACAGCAGTTTGTTTTGGTTTCATACTGGTGCCCAAGGAGCATTTACTGGATTAAAAGTCACACAATCTACCTTTAAAATGTTAAAATGCAAAAATAGTGTGTGCCAACAAATTCTTTCTTTAAAAAGCTTTATATTTAAAAAAGCTGAACTGAAAGCAATTCAGTGACTTCTTACTTTGAGTGTGAAAGTTCAGGATCATTTCTGAAGTTTAATGGAAATTCTTTGGAGAGGTCACTACTCATAGACAGACAGCTGGGTACAGGAGACTCTGATCTCTGTCTGCTGGACTCAAATCTGTAAAAATCAAACAGTTTTATATTCATTAGGGATGTGATTGGGAAAAAAAAACAGGAACCCACCCCCATTCCAAAGAAAGAAATGTATTAAATATAGTAAAGTATGTGCGACATTCTACATATAAATATAGCAGAAATAAAGTGTATCTTCTGTAAATATCTCTCTGAGTTAAGACTGTCTACAATGAGTGAGTTGGCTGTATTGTTGTCAGAGCCATATTTACACAGCGTTTAGATGGACAGGACGGCCTGCCTCATCCCCTTGTGTATAAAATCTATTTAAGTCAAGTAGTGGAGAAAAGAAGAATAACATAGCCTACTCACAGTTTATTTGAATGTCAAGTAAGCGTTTTTAGATCATGGTTATTATGTATCAATTTACATGCAATGTGAAACAGGCTAACTAAAGAGGGCTAACAGTAGCCTGCTAACACAAAAATGCAGGCCACGGGCAACTGTAGCTCGAGCCAAGGACAATTTTGTCCTCCGCTTACACTTAATGGTGTGTCAGTATGGTGCGTTCCACTTTATAACTACTTTGTGTGAACGTGAGGAGAGGGGGGTTGGTGATGTGTCGCTGGGGGAGCGCAGAGGCTTCAGAATAGCGAGTGTAACAGAAGAGGAGTTTGTTTTGGTTTCAACTGGTGCCAAGGGCATTACTGGATTAAAAGTCACAATCTACCTTTAAAATGTTAAAATGCAAAAATAGTGTGTGCCAACAAATTCTTTCTTTAAAAAGTTTTATATTTAAAAAAGCTGAACTGAAAGCAATTCAGTGACTTCTTACTTTGAGTGTGAAAGTTCAGGATCATTTCTGAAGTTTAATGGAATATCTTTGGAGAGGTCACTCTTCATAGACAGACAGCTGGGTACAGGAGACTCTGATCTCTGTCTGCTGGACTCAAATCTGTAAAAATCAAACAAGTTTTATATTCATTAGGGATGTGATTGGGAAAGGACAAAAACAGGAACCCACCCCCATTCCAAAGAATAGAAATGTATTAAATTCTTATAGTAAAGTATGTGCAACATTTTACATATAAATATAGCAGAAATCCAGTATATCCTTTGTAAATGTCTCTCTGAGTTATGACTGTCTACAATGTGTGAGTAGCGTGAGTCCTGTTGGCTGTATTGTTGTCAGAGCCATATTTACACAGCGTTTAGATGGACAGGACGGCCTGCCTCATCCCCTTGTGTATAAAATCTATTTAAGTCAAGTAATAGAGAAAAGAAGAATAACATAGCCTACTCACAGTTTATTTGAATGTCAAGTAAGCGTTTTTAGATCATGGTCATTCTGTATCAATTTACATGCAATGTGAAACAGGCTAACTAAAGAGGGCTAACAGTAGCCTGCTAACACAAAAATGCAGGCCACGGGCAACTGTAGCTCGAGCCAAGGACAATTTTGTCCTCCGCTTACACTTAATGGTGTGTCATCATGGTGCGTTCCACTTTATAACTACTTTGTGTGAACGTGAGGAGAGGGGGGTTGGTGATGTGTCGCTGGGGGAGTGCAGAGGCTTCAGAATAGCGAAAGTGCACCGAACAGCAGTTTGTTTTGGTTTCATACTGGTGCTCAAGGACGACATTTACTGGATTAAAAAGTCACACAATCTTCCTTTAAAATGTTAAAATGCAAAAATAGTGTGTGCCAACAAATTCTTTCTTTAAAAAGTTTTTATATTTAAAAAAGCTGAACTGAAAGCAATTCAGTGACTTCTTACTTTGAGTGTGAAAGTTCAGGATCATTTCTGAAGTTTAATGGAATATCTTTGGAGAGGTCACTCTTCATAGACAGACAGCTGGGTACAGGAGACTCTGATCTCGGTCTGCTGGACTCAAATCTGTAAAAACCAAACATGTTTTATACTTATCAGAGATGTGATTGGCAAAGGAAGAAAAACAGGACTCCACCCCCCTTCCAAAAAGTAGAAAAATGTATTAAAGAGTAACTAAACCCCAAAAACCACTTTTTTCAACTATAAACCTCTGTATTTGAGTATTAAGTAGTGTTATGGATCAATCCAAGTCCCAATCTCAACATTTGAGTACAAAGTATTGAAATTTGAAATATTGTGTTAGAAATGTGCAAAGTGTCTGCCCTTCCGTTTGAAAAATTCTAACGGCTGTGTGGAGTACAGTACTACGTAGGAGTGAATTACTACGTCACCAAACCTATAAAAGCCTCGTCACCCGACTCGGCGACCTGTGGGGAGTCAAGTGTGTGTGTCTATTTTAGTGATGTGTAGCTCGTGAACGATTCGTTCAAAACGAACGAATCATCTGGGTGAACGAACTGAACTGAATCACTTACTGAAAAGAGTCGTTCATTTCTCAACTTCAGTTGCGCTCTCCTCTCTCCCGTCTCGTATCTCTCTCCAGACCGTAAGAGTCGCTCAAAGCCCGCCCTCCCTCTCCCTTTTATGTCAGTGATAATTACTGACTGAGCCAAAAGGACAGAGTCGGTCGAGAGCTCTGTGTCGCTAAAGCTCGCCCGTACTTCTCCCTCTCATGTCTCCAAAATTGAGGAAGTAGCAAATATATTATTTAACATTTAGGTGTCGTGAAAATGTATGTGCTTTTTTATAGCTGCTGTCAGTTTGCAAACGGCTTTTATATCCAACTTAATTTCACTCAGCTGACTGTTTTAATATCCACTAACGATCGTGTTTCAGTCAACACAGTGTGAGTGAGTGAGTGTGTGTGTGTGTGTGTGTGTGTGTGTGTGTGTGTGTGTGTGTGTGTGTGTGTGTGTGTGCATGCGTGCGTGCGTGCGACTGAGGCTGGTGACTCTGCGCTCGCTGGGGGAGCGCAGAGGCTTCAGAATAGCGAAAGTGCACCGAACAGCAGTTTGTTTTGGTTTCATACTGGTGCTCAAGGACGACATTTACTGGATTACTGACTGAGCCAACAGGACAGAGTCGGTCTTACTTCTCCCTCTCATGTCTCCAAAATTGAGGAAGTAGCAAATATATTATTTAACATTTAGGTGTCGTGAAAATGTATGTACTTTTTTATAGCTGCTGTCAGTTTGCAAACGGAAACGGAACACTGAAAATAACTGCTTTTCCCATCACTAGTGTATTTGTGTGTGTGGGGCAAACATTGTATCATGTTGCAGCTGATGACGTCGCAAAGCAGTGAGTGGGCGTGTCCCCCCTTCTCGAAGTTGATACATTGACATTCTAAATGCATTTTTTTAAATTCCAGGGTAGAGCGGTACAACTGAAAAATGTTCAAATGTTAAAATTCAAAAATCGTGCAGGGCAACCATTTTTTTAAATGTATTTAAAAAATAATAATAATTTTAAATTCAATTGCTTCTTACTTTGAGTGTGAAAGTTCAGGTTCACTTATGCAGACCAAATGTAAATCTTCTAACCAGCTAGGCACAGGAGGAGACTCTTCTCTGTCCTCCTCCTCCTTTAGACAAACACTCATGTCTGGTCTGAAGTCAGCCTGGGATCAAAAACAATAACAGTGACTGTTAGCACCATAAACTGTAAAAGCACAGACAACAAGAAGTAGGAAAAACCCGTTTGGAAAAAAACACACACACACACACACACACACACACACACACACACACACACACACACACATACGCACACACAGGGCATACAAAACAGGAAAAGACAGAGCCCATACAGTAACACACATATTAACCAAAGTTGTGACTATCTCTGTAGTACAGTTGACAAGGAGAAAACTGAAGGGAAAATATAAAAAATAGACACTCACCCTGCTTCACTACGTCAGTGTTCGGATCTGCGATCACTCGTCTCAAAATGGAGTTTACTTTCGGTTTTGGCTCGACTGCGCTGAGCCTGGATCACATGGTTAGTGCTGCGCCTCTCCATTTACAGTGTGTGTGTGTGTGTGTGTGTGTGTGTGTGTGTGTGTGTGTGTGTGTGTGTGTGTGTGTGTGTGTGTCACAGAGATAAGTTTCTAAACTTCTCTTTCAGCCTGAATTAGGTCTAAACTTGTTTATGTTTAAATGCTGGAGCTCTGATCAGTTATATTTTCTCATTTATGTTCCAACTGATTTAAGTTAATGTTTAAATAGCCTACTTAATTAATATTATCAATACTTTATCAAATTATAATAAATCGTTGGAAAAAAAAAAAAGTTGGACTGGGTGATGAACCGAAACTTTCAATTCATGTAACATTATCCACAGCAATTTAAACTATTCTTTGTAGGTTTAAGTAGGTGATCTCACTCTGTGGGGTTCTCCTAAAACAGTTCTGCTGTTTATCATCAGACATTTGGCTGTGAAATTAGCAATTAGTGTGACCATGGCGACCAAAAGTGGCTAGTACTCCAACGTTGAGAGAAACATAGAAATGTGAGCCGGAAGAATGCCAAAAACATGAACGATTTTGTTGTGTTAGTTACTTTTTCAATATGAATTGCCCAAACTTGTCTTTGAAATCCCATGGTTCTTTGCTGTTTACAGTAAAACTGGTTATGAATTGGCCCTATACAAACTGTGATTGATTGATTGATTGATTGAGTAAATGCCTGTAAATAATGCCATTCCCTTAAATTGCTTTAAACATGTTATTTATCCCCAGATGACATTGCAGTTTACAGTAAGACACTGTATAACACAAATATAGTAAATTACTATGAGTTTACATGTGCTCAAGCCCTCTTGTAATCTCTGAGAGTTCTTCCTCACTTCACCAGTGATTAGGCCTAATCTACAAGCCAGCTCGCTCCCTGCTCTTCTGTTTTTCTCAATGAATTTAATCAGTTATTTCTAATATTTGTTCATCAATTGCTTCATTTATCAATGAATTATCATGATTGTGAAGAAATCATGGCAGTTTTTATTTGCCAGAATCAACAATCAAATCAGAACAGGAGACAGAACTGATCAAATTTGACAGTACTGGCTGTTTTAGAAACTGTGGAGCTTCTGTGAAATAAATGGTGAAGGTTTGAGATTATTTACACATGGACAAGCATGAAAAATGAATCATGTGTTCAAAATGTTACTGAGATTAGGAACGGAATAAAAGAAGTAATCAATTTCATATGTTTAAATATGTGTGTCTTGAAGTTTATTATTTTTATTTTGTCATCCATCGCCTCATATATAATCAAAGACTGACGTGAATCAGCTGTAAATGAGGTTTCTTCTACTAATAGTAAGTTTTGGTTAAATTATCTGTCTCTGATTGTAAAAGAAGAATAAGACGATCTAAATTTAAAAAATAAAAATAAAATTTGAGCTGATAAAATCAGACTTCATTGTTGAGCTTCTTTGGAATAAGATACGTTTTGTAAAAGTTTATCTGCCCTGTTTTCACTCAAAATATTACTTATTTGTTAGAATTATTGTTAGTCAAAGTTTGAAAGAAAACGAAGTGCATCACATGAAGTGATCATTCTTTATAATGGTTGTATATCCTACTGTACCTCATTTTATCTTTAAAACTGCTCCAAATTATGATTTAAACGTTGATACAAAAACTGTCACTACAGCTGTCTAACAAATGCAGTAGGCAATTTATTTCTGAAATCTTAGATACAATTGAACCCACAAAACTAAAGTAGCCTACAGTACTGACTTTACAGCTGCTTATAAAGCTAAGCTAATTCACCACTGATTTAATCCATCTGCAGCACTTTGATAACAGAAATATGTGACGGAAAATTATTCTAAAGAGGTAAAAAAAAAAAAAAAAGTGGTCGCAGCTTCTTGTTTTAAGACTTAACATCACATATTTTCTGATTGAGTCCAAGAAAGTGGCTTTCATACCATTTTATGTCAGTTTTACAGATGATGTCATAAAAAATCAGGGTTGTAGTAAAAACCTTGAAATAAAATAAAAAGAAAGAAAAGTACCCAGAAATATTTTTCATCGAAAAGAATAATTAATATTCACCATCGGAATACATTGTGATAACATTTCTGACAGCCGTCATATATTCGAGACATCTGATTGGCCGACGTGTCCTCTCCAGCCAATGGGAGAAAAGAGAATCGCAGGGTGGGCGGGATTAGACCGATGTAAACAGCAGCTCCACTGTTCATTACAGTCTCTGGTTTTTTTTTAGCTGTGTTGTGGCTAAGCTAGTTAACTCTTCTCTAGCTCCGTCCTCCTGAACTTTGGACCTCCGTCTCTGGGCTTTAATGGCCGGCTTAGCCCTGAAGCTCTCCGCTCCCTGGCGTTTTGTCAAATTAAGAAGGTGAGGATGGGGCGCTGTTTATTGTTTAATGTTAACCGATGTTTTTTTGGGGTTTGTAGTTTTCTACCCTCGCTATAATTGAATTAACTGTAAAGTCAAACTAGGTTAAATATGGACTAACTTCTTGTTAGCTTTGCGTTGTTAACAGTCAGTGCAGCCTGTGAGTGGACATATTCACATCATTATTAAATAACGTTGACACAGCTGAGAGCTTGTTAGCCGGGTTACAATCTTTCAGCAGCTTTTTCTATTGCTCAATGAATGGAGTAAGAAGCTAACCATGTAGCATCAGGCAGCCTGACTACAAGTTGTGAATATTACAAACATAACCTGGATAATATTTGCTGATTAAATTCATTACAATGTTAGTTACAATTCCGTTTGTTCGATATTTTTTTTTTTTTTTAGGAACAACCATATTATCACAACAAATGCAGTTATAGTTATCCACCTGGGCTAGCTGTGAACTTTGCTCCAGATTCTCAGAGCAGGAACAGAGGTTGTCTTACTGACATAATCTGACATTCACGTTAAATTACAGAAACAAAACAGCATTGGCTGGTATTAAATCAAAACTCTGTCATTTTATTCACAACTGTTTAAAGTCACTTTGATAAAACTAAAGGTCAAATATTTACTGACAGGGTTTTCCACTGACATATGGAAAATTAAAATGACATAATTTGCTCACCCAATTCTTAACTGTCAGTAATTTACTGCAGAGGAGAGTTAGGCCTCTTGTCAAATATAAATGGGGTTTGGATTTCCTCCCCCAGGAAATGATGAGCAGCCATCACTTAATTTCTGCATTCTGGTGAATAATTATGCTTTAAACTCTTAAAACTCTGTGGTGGAAATTCAAATATAAAAAGATGGCACATTATTAAATTATTAACAAAAAAATCAATACTACCTCCTACATGAAGCTCATATTGTTGCATGATTTAATCTTTTTTTTTTTTTCACATGGTCATTTTAAAACTGAATAGTCTAAATTTAAACAAAATCTTCAATTAAAATATTAAAAAAGAGAATCATAACCTTTCTACATCACAGCCAACATGGAATATGTAAGATTTCAGCACAATAAGGAGAATACTTGTATCTTTATCTTGCAAAGAACATTTTTTAATTTAAAATTGTTTTATTTAACTTGATACCCTTTTTAAATAAATGCCTTTATATACACTCCCCATATAGTTGAAAATCTGACCGTAGAATACAGACTCTTACCTGTTTTACTCTCACTGATTTCGTACCTCTGTTTTTAACCTTTGATAATCAATATTATAGCCTAGTCTATATTGTGCCCTGTGATGTGTCTCAGGGTACTTGGGAGCTTTTCTATCACACACTAAAACGCTGACCTGTTAAAGTGAGAACATCTTTTTACTGAAACCAAACACGTCAGGGTGTTGAATATTCATTTTAATAATAGGTTATCAAGACGCATTAATCTCCATGAGAGAGAGAGAGAGAGAGATGACACCTCTGTGCAAAATGTAAACCAGTCTAAATCCCAAATATTTCACAATTGCTGTCAAATGTGAGCAGGTTGTAAAATTACAGAATCCTCCCAGCGTGTTGGTGAAAGCACTGAATGTTTTTTTTTTCCTTTTCTGTCTCCAGCCTGGCAAGATTCTCCAGCATTCCCAGTCTGAAGTTCCACACCACAGCCTCTCCTCTGATGAGTGAGTATCTGCTGCGAGGGGCTCCGATGAATAAAAGAAAAAGAAAAGATAATTTTCTGTCCATCACAAATGAATCTTTCATAAAAGGATCACTGAGGTGTTTAAAAGCAATAGTGTGAGCTCCTCACTGAGGTTGTCTAAATGTTTGATGCTTTTTCATACCATGTGTTTTAAAACGATACAGTCATTGATTTTGTAAGCGATCAACAGTATCAAAAAGTCCTGAAACTTAAAAAAAACCTTTCATAGTGTGTTGGAAAGTCCATTAGAAACGGCAGGCAAACTCCTGCACACTGTCAGAATTGCACAAAGACATTGGCAATGTTTCAGTATGGAACAATGCCAATGTCGCAATGCCTTTGACTGAAATTTTAGATCCTCAATACAATATATTTGGTGCCTAAGACTTCTATTTTAGTCGCTGTGATATTGAAACAGGTATCCATATCGTTCTATTTTTACTAGATTGTGTCAAAGTTTACATTTCTGGTACGGTGACAAGGCTGCTCCTGACACCACAGCTGGTTACGTTCTGTTTTAAAAATCCAAACTACTTGACACGTTGGTGAATTGGCAGTAAAAAGTTCCGTCATTTGATGACGTAACAATCCGTTCAGTCATTCATTGAAGAAGACCGTCTTACAGATGCACAGGAAAGAATCAGGTCAGAGTTGAAGCCTTTTGCTTTATTCACAGGAGTCACTGAGATCCACAGCAAGCTGAGGTTCCTTTAAGAAGTTGTAATAATCTGACATTTTGGTGACTTTGTGTGCAGGTGCAACAGTAGAGCAGTTTGAGCAAGCCAAAGGCAGACTGTCGACACTGAAGAACGACCCGGGGAACGAGGTCAAACTGCAGATCTACGCCCTCTTCAAACAGGTACCAGATGATCCACCTTGTTGGAGCGAGTAACCTTCATGTCTGAGCGTCCCTCTCTTTTCTCCTCTCCGCTGAGTTAAAACTAAAGCTCTGTTTGTATTAGAAAAGCTTGACTTTTAATCCCCTGCGGTTTATGGCCAGATAGTTCAAATTTATGCTGCATTCATGTGGTGTCGGACACATCAGAAAAACGAGTGTCTGAGTGGGAAAATTCACGTGAACGTCTGCTCAAGTCAGAACAAAAACTCAGAAACTCATTCCACACATCTTCTTTGTATCATCATCATCTTCTTTGCGTCTTTGTTTGTTGTTGTTTTGCGACATTCCGACTTTCCGAATTGAAAGCCCATGAACACATTGAAGACAGACAAACGACTTCCCAACTCTGAAACTAGGAACATCTTCGTCGCACATGTCTGCAGCATAATGTGATAATGTATCTGATAAGTTCCTGACTTTGTCTGAACTCAAACAAGCTGTTTTTTCTTTACTTTTTTCTTTACATAAGAGAGAGTCTTCAGGGCTTTGAAAAGAACCAGTTCTATCTATTTAAACAGGCTAAATAAACAGGCTGTGTGAAGACATCCCCCACCTTGAACCTAACAGTAGAATTTCTTTATGAAGGGATAAAACAGAGTTACTAAGACTTCCAGCAATTTTTAAATCCCACGAGGCGAAACATTTTCTTTCCGTATCTCTTTGACAAAAGTTTCCTTCAGGACCTCATTGTCGCTTTCTTAGGCAATTCAATCTGCAGACGTTGATGCTACAAAGTGTAAAATATTTTTCATATTGTCAACTTTAAAAATGCACCCTGCATAATTTCTGTAGATTTAATGTTAAATTGTCGTCTTTTTAAAATGAATCACCCTGTCATTGTCTAAGTAGCATATTACTTAAAAATATATTCATCCTCCTTCAGGCCACTCAGGGTCCCTGCAACACCCCCAAACCAGGCATGCTCGACTTCGTCAACAAGGTCAAATGGGACGCGTGGAAATCCCTGGGCTCCATATCGCAGGTACAGCTGCTGCTTCCATGTTGAACTTGTTTTACTTTCTGCACTGAGTCAAAATGTTCACAAAGGATCGCCTCAGGTGTGACGATGTTTTTCAGCATTGTGACTAAGCAAACACATTTTCAAGCTGAAAAAAATTGTTGCGTTGTGTGAGCGCTGTTTAAATAAATGCTGTGGAAACAGAAGAAAGGCCATTAATGTTAAACACATAAAAAAAGTACAATATCAGCTCTTTCTCAGGCAAAACATTAAAAATAGCAATTCACGTTTTAAAACAACCAATTTAATTTCTCTCATAAAACTTTAATTACTTCTGTCTTCATTTATTTTTTTACATTGCAGTTACACTTGATGTCATTTAGTGAAGTTGTCCGAAAATAAAACCATAAAAGTTTGAACATCACTTTAAAAATGGACCTAACACTTAGCTCGTACATTTCAGGTTTTTTTTTTTAGTTTAAATATTTGAAGAAAGAGGATTTAAAAAAAAAAAAAAAGGTTAAAAACAGCGACGTGGGCTCTGCATGTCTATTGATACTTCTGCACCCTGCTCATAAAAAGAGAAAAAATCTCAGAAACTTAAACTTGTTCAGAGATCAGATCCCTTTTGAAGTGTTGAGAAATAAAAATTGTGTTCTTGATCTTTACTTGATTTGTACATGATTGCTAAATATATATATATCTATATCTATAAAAATAATAATAAATCAAAACGCTTCCTTTTTTATAACGGGTGTCCCAACAATTCAAATTTAATTGCCATTAATCTAATTTTTAATCGTGTCTCAAATTCCATTATTATGCATTTAAAACAAGTTATTTTCAAGCTTTATTTTGTATTTTTTGACTATCTTAAGCAAGGGGTGCTTTACTTCCTGTTTGGATACAACCCTGCTTTTAATTAGAAAAATAAGGAACTCTTGGTCGATATTGTCACGAGGTGGATATTACTTTTGACTCATCAGCTGAGCTGCCTGACAGTTTTCCTAAAGTGACATGAGACATTAAAAGATCCAGCAGTGTCGTTCTTTTCCATCACCATGACAACAAGAAGACACTGCTGAGGCCTATTCACGGTGTACATAAAGGGATAAAATAGCATACTGTTAATCACGATGGGGAAAAAAAAGAATGCATTAGTTTCTGACCTTAATCACACCGCAATTAACACGTTAACACTGACAGCCCTACTTTTAGATTGTTTGACCTCCATAATAACACATCGTAACACTTTGTTCTTCTGTTGAAAAACCAGCGAATAAGTCTCGAAAACAAACGGCAGGAACAAAAACACATGACATAGTCAATGGAGGAAAAGAAGTGAATTCATCCCTGTTGTTCCTCAGGAGGATGCCAGGCAGAAGTACTGCGACCTGGTTGGCTCTCTGGTCACTGCAGAAGGTGGAAGCTCCGCCCAGGTGGCCGCACAGCCTGCTGCGAGCGGGTCAACGTACGAGACGCTGCTGGTCACCACGGAGGATAAGATCACCACCATCAAACTGAACCGACCGGCCAAGAAAAACGCCATCACCTCCGGGGTGAATATGAAATATGTTACGATGAACTAAATGAAACGGAGCATTCAAAACAAATCAATAAGAAAAATGTCAAACTATGTTTTGTTTTCTACCAGTTACTATTACATTTAGAGTTGAATGTCGCCCTTAGATTCCTCCATGCTGCAGCAGTTAATCAGGCTGAAATGTCTGCAACTTAATCCTTGATGGATCAAAGTGTGTCCACTAAAAAGTTGTTGCTTTTATCCCTGACAGACTCGTGTCAGATTGTTATTCTAAGTGTCACAGAAAAGATCCTGCAGAGATAGACCTTTTTTGTTACAGAAGAGGTGATTTTGTTAAAATGTTTATTTTGTAGGCTTTTATTCCTTTATTGGAGAGACAGGACAGTGGATAGAGTCAGATATCAGGGGAAAGAGAGAGAGTGGGGAATGACATGCAGGAAAGGAGCCTCAGGACTATAGCCTCATACATGGGCGCAACATTTACCATAAACTATCAGCGCCCCCAGGAAGATGATTTTTTAAACCACAAACTGCTGTTATATCACTCTTTACACACACAACAGCATACATTGATACACACAGGGACTTTACCTCACAGTAAATAAGAGTTGTTGAACTACTGCCGCCTTAATTGCCTTTTGGGGATTTAATTGTTAAGTTTCAATACAACACTGTATTTATGTAACACACAATAACACTTAGAAATCAAGACAGCAGTAGATCAACACTTTCTCTGTGTCTGTGAGTAGAAATGTCCTCTTTTAGTGGACATATTTTGATTGAGCACTGTTGCGTGAAAGGTTTTTGTTGGACCCATTACAGCCTGTTGTAAAGAATCTCGCATTGACCCTTTAAATTTCTTTCCTCTCAGATGTACGATGAGATCGTTGCAGCTCTGGCGCAGGCGGCTAAAGACGACTCAGTCATCACCGTTATAACTGGTACACACACACACACACACACACACACACACACACAAACCAGGCTTAATTTTAATTTCCTAAATGAACACTCTTTGATGTTGAAATATGTGATTTTGATATCATACATTGTGCCCTGTTCTTGTAAATGCCTCTCTGTAAAACTCAAACAATGACGTATAACTGATACTTAAATGTCATTAATATAATCTAAAGATGTTATTTTAAAGGCTGCATTGGTCAAAAATAACACCACTGTGTCTGTGTTTGATTGCAGATGTTACAAACAACTTCATTATAAAATCTTCATTCATTTGAATTTCTAAAATCATTTAAATTAGAGTCTCTCCCCACGTTTTGGGTGTAGCGTTCTCAGAATGATTGCCCCACACAGCAGGAAATAGCTGAATAATATGTTACTATAAATGTCAGTGAATACATGCACTGAATGACTAATAGTATATCTTGGGGTTGACAAAGAGGAGGCTGATTATTCTCCTGTGTGGTTTTTATTGTGCATAAGGTTTGGTTATCTCTGGAGTAACTGTGTCTGTCCTGAGTTCAGACTGTGAGGCACGATGGCTTTATTTAACCGACAAATAAACACAGGAAATTAAGGCGTGACATTAAAAGGTTAAAGGAACGTTCCACCAAAAACAATGAGCATCATGAGCATAATCACTGACCGTCACTCAAAGCTCTGAAGAAATATGTATTTTTTTTTTATTTATATTTGAGAAGAGATATTTTGTAAACTATTTTTTTTTCTGTTTCTACACACACACACACACACACACACACACACACACACACACACACACACACACACACACACACACACACACACACACACACACACACACACACACACACACACACACACACACACACACACACACACACACACACACACTCTCTCTCTCTCTATCTCTTTATGCAGGTGCTGGTGATTACTACTGCAGCGGAAACGATCTGAGTAACTTCACTAAGATCCCCGAGGAGGGGGTGGAGCAGCTGGCCAAAAGTTCAGGAGAGCTGCTCAGGTGATCACTGATTAGAGTTTCTAAATTCCTCTTTCAGGTTTGATTATTTGTAAACTAATTTGAAGCAACATGTTTAATTTTTACTGGGGTCTAAAGGGTTTTAATTATTCCCAATATGAAAAAAATGTATATTTTCATTTATGAACCTGTTGCAGGAGGTACGTGAGTGCCTACATCGACTTCCCGAAGCCGCTGGTCGCCGTGGTGAACGGACCGGCTGTAGGAATCTCAGTCACGGTGTTGGGACTGTTTGACCTGGTCTACGCGTCAGAGAGGGTACACACACACACACACACACACACACACACACACAAGCCTGAAGAGATCTCAGGTCACATGAAGCTGCTTATCAACTGTCTCGCTTGACTCTTTCTGCTTCAGGCAACTCAGACTGGTTTCAGACTGGGATCATTTTAAACACAAACTGGTTTCAGACTGGGATCATTTTAAACACAAACTGGTTTCAGACTGGGATCATTTTAAACACAAACTGGTTTCAGACTGGGATCATTTTAAACTCAGACTGGTTTCAGACTGGGATCATTTTAAACACAACTGGTTTCAGACTGGGATCATTTTAAACTCAGACTGGTTTCAGACTGGGATCATTTTAAACTCAGACTGGTTTCAGACTAGGATCATTTTAAACTCAGACTGGTTTTTAAAGTCAAACTGGTTTAATGGGTTATGTGACTACTGTGACCATTCCATTCCTGTTTTATTTGAACTGTATGATATTTAGAACGTCGTTGTTGTTGTTTGTTTTGTTCTCCTCTTGATTATTTACTGTTGATTTGATGTATTTTTAACACTACAGCATTTTTAGCCAAAGTTAATGTGCAGAGTTTGACATTGGTTTACATTATTCACTCTTGTTCCTTTACAATTAAACATTAAATAAATAAACACTGTGTTTATATTTGAATCTGGCTTCATAGTAAATAATCTGACGTGTCTTTGAGTCAACGAGATCTTCTCACTGATTGGTGACTCTCTCTCCATCAGGCCACCTTCCACACTCCGTTCAGTCAGCTGGGTCAGAGTGCTGAGGGCTGCTCGTCCTACACCTTCCCCAAGATCATGGGCCACGCAAAGGTACACACACACACACACACACACACACACACACACACACACACACACACACACACACACACACACACACACACAGGCAGCACAAAAAGACAGTGGAGAAAAGATCTTGAGTTATGGGATCCTCAATGATGAACAGGTTGTTAATTTTAGTTAAATCTGAGGACTTTATCTATAAAAGACTGGTTGCTGTGTAGAACACTGTTTGTACTGGTATAGATCTTAACCTCCTCACCTTAGTCGAGACGAAAGAAGAGTTTTAGAAAGTGTTGGGGATGAGCAGAAACTAAAAGAGCCGCAAACATGTCTTTGTTTTGCAAAGTTTGTGTCTCGTAAAGTTTTGGTGTGTGTGTGTTTGTTTTCCTCCCTCAGGCCACTGAGATGCTGCTGTTCAACAAGAAGCTGACGGCGGCTCAGGCGTCTGAGCTCGGTCTGGTCACCGAGGTTTTCCCTGAAAGCAGCTTCCAGTCTGAGGTTTGGACCCGACTGAAGAGCTACGCCAAGCTGCCTCCCAAGGTAAGAACACACACACACACACAGACACACACACGCACATTAAGATCCATAAAGATCACACCATCTTCTCTCTTTTTGTGCACATATTCAAAGGGATAGTTGTATATTTTTTCAAATGTGGTTGTTTGACGTACTTGTCATTAGTATGTAAGTACCTCATAAATACACAACTATTATTGATACACCAGTTTGAGTTTTAGAGAAGAGACATTTCTTTAATGGTCAAGCTTTTATTTAGCTTTTTGACGTCTCATAGCCCCTTGTGTTGTGATTTAAAAAGTGTCTTTATTTTAAAAGGGTGCTTCAAAGTCATCCTGCTGAATAATGAAAGTGATGCAGGAGAGGCAAACAACTAGTTCATTTAATAAAACTACAACTAAAAAAATGTAGTCGATAAATACCTCTAACTGACAGCTTCACTAAGTAAGCTAGTTTTGCTCCAATTGCTGTTTGTGTTTCTATTTTTTAATATTGTTTTCTCTCTCTCTCTCTCGCTCCCCCTCTCTTTCTCTCTCAGTCCCTCGCCTACTCCAAACAGCTGATCCGGTCGACAGATAAAGAGCGTCTGCACGCGGTGAACGATGCAGAGGTGGAGCGTCTGATGGAGCGCTGGCTCTCAGACGAGTGCATGAACGCCATCATGACCTTCTTCCAGGCCAAGGCCAAACTCTGAGAGAGACGTGTGTGAGTGTGTGTGACAGAGAGAGATAGAGTGTTTCTGACATAATCAGGTGAAGATAAATAATAACTTTAAAATGTCGTGAACTGACATAGAGACGGAACTCAAACACAACTTTAATTAATCTGTACAATAGACTGTAATTAAGAACTGGAGCCAGTGAAGAAGAGCCTTAAACCTGCAGTATTTCTTCTGACCAGCAGGGGGTCTGATTGTATAGAAGTCTAGGTACAATTTTACTAATCATTTTATTTGATCTCTAGTTTCAAGTCTTTTTTCAACACAGATTGATTTAGAGTCAAAGAGACCAGAAAGAGGGGGCGGGGTTAGGTGTGGGGCTTCCTCTGATTGACAGGTGGCTTACATGGGAAACTAAATGTTTAGTTCAGGGTTAGGTTGATCCACAAGAAGCAAGAAGGAGAGGAATGTTCATCATGGGTGAGACAATGTACATATCTCACCAGACGAGACGATATCGTAACATCTTTTAAGAAAACTTTGACGACGACAAAAGATACGACTGGAACAGTCTTTCATTCCTTTGAAATGCAAAACAATGCAACTGATTTCACTAGTAATCAGTTTCCCCGTGAGCCCTGCATCCGTAACAAGTTTGCTGTGATCTACAGAAATCTTTATGATCTTTGAGCTTTGACAGTTTTAAACACGTAACACACTCACACCTGGTTCATTTAGTGGATGTGTGTGTGAGTCGGACAAAACAAACGAGGAGCGTTTGTTCAAAACTGTGTCTTCAGTTTTTGGAGTAAACACTCAATGCTCAATAACAGATTTTACAGCTGCTCTAACATTCAGTGTCTGATGGATGTTATACACAGCCACCAGCTGATGCACGATTAATACAGACATGGGGAGATTCAACAGAGAAGCTCCTGTATTAGTTTTAGTTTCATATAAAAACTCTTCTTTGACGCTTTACTCTTGTTTTGTCTGTTGTTTGTCACCTTCCAAATCTAACAGCTAACGTGAAATATCGACGCTCATAACTTGGGACTTCCTAACCCGTATCTCATCTTTAGCTCCACCCTCTTGTCCAGATAAACGAGATGGTGTCAGCCAAATTAACAAACTTGCTTCAAAACCGTCCTCAGATCAACAGGTGACATCATGTTGACTTCTTCCGCTTCTTTTATGCAGTTTATTCTTATATGCTCTTTTCTGTCTTTTTCATCATGTCAACAGTTGACGTGCAGATTTCACTGCAGTTGTTTGAAACGGAGTCACCAGAAGCTTCCATGTTAATCTTTTTATTTGTATCTAACACCAATGGTTTGTCAGATTTTCAGTCCTGCAGACCCTGCTGCTTGATAACCATCACTTTGACAGACTGTACTCTAAAAGATCGCTGTAACAAACCTGCCTTCATTCTCTGCAGCCTTCTTCTTTTTAAACAACATTTATTTCACTTTTATCAGACTGTGAACTCGCACCTCGATCTAACATCTGTAATGTTTGTAAATGTGATGATTGTTAAGAAACACAAAGGACTCAGTTTATGTTTGAGACTCTGTTAATGGGGAAAGTGCCTTTCAACACTTTACAACATCTGTGAGAGCGACGGCTTCAAATCTGATCTTTGTCCCTTGTTTTCTCCATCGATCAATAAAAGACCAGAATATTTAACAATTTAAAGGAGCAGAGTTGTGTTTCTGTGCATTTTACACAAAAAAACATAAAATAAACTATCTGGCATGATGTGTAATACAATAAGAAACTTCGAATGATGAGCTAAGAAGATGATAAAACATGTTTCCTTGGTGTAGACAGATTTTAAAGTGAACTCTTTGATGTCTGATCTTTTTTAGTTTGCATTTCCACCTCTGATCCACCAGGTGGCAGCATCCACCTGTCTGTACAGAGCAGGCTTCTAGCATTGGTGACCAATGTCTGTGATGATGTTACTCTTTAGTAAAGAAGCAGTCTGACAGTCAAACTTAGTTTATTAGAAATAAAAAAGTGTGCAGCTTCACTGAGGAATCAGGGAACGCTTCAACGTCTGCATCTACATTTATACGATCATGTAATCAAATGATACAAAGCGGAGAGCAGTTTGAAATTACTTTCCTGTGAAAATTCTCCTCTGAGACAACCGACCTGTTTAACAAACAAGTTTTACAGAGGAACTTCTATAATTAACTTTATTTATTTATTTGCATTGTGACGTGAAGCGGCGAACTCCTGCAGAGCAGACGAGGTGTGCTGGAGTCGTACGTGACATTTAAGAATCGTTCCAGCGTGATTTCATGTTTTAAACATCATGTTGATGAGGCTTGGAGGAGAAGTCATTAAAGAAACGCCAGAAAAAAACTCCACTTGTTGTGGATTACTGGAGCCAGAAACCATCAGAGAGCAGAGTGCAATCAGCTGTCCACTTTATTTATCGAAAAATAATGCTGATGTTGACTGCAATTAAAGTTGCCATGGTTCCAAAAGAAAAAAACAAACAAATGACATCAGTATCAGGACCGAACTGAACACAAATCCAGGCTTAAAATCTTTAATATATTTCTTCACATTGAAGTCCAACGCATGTTTCAAATAACAATCGAACAAATGCACATTTCTTTAAGATATTAAACATCTTAGAACGATCTCATTTGCTGCCCGAACCTGAATGTTTTAACTAGTGTAAGGGAATTAAGAGACAGAAAAGCCTCATTGCTCTTATTATCTGTGTTCAGACCAACAGCAACACATTTTGATCACCTTGTATTCCTTAAATTAAAGCTGCCTGAAATCTGTCTTCAGTTCTATGAACCCAAGATAAAAAGATTTGACTGAGATTTAATGACAATAAACAGGCTGAAAGGATGCTGGAATGTCTTCATAATGAATATGTCATGTCTGTCTGTGAGACGACAAGCAAACGGCTCGTTTTTTTAAAAATGGAGTTAGGTTCAAACATTGCTAAACCAGCGCAGAGGGGAATCTGACGCTGATAGGTATTGATGACACATTTATACACATTATTCTACATCAGGTCAAAAAAGAAATACAACTTTTGCAAATTCATCAACCCAAAAAATGTTTTAACTTTGATGTGTTTTGGCAGGTGTTTCATTTGTATTTATTTAACCTTGATTTAACCAGGTTGGCCCCGCTGAGATTAAGAGCCTCTTTTCCAAGAGAGACGCTGTGGTCCTCAAAGCGGGCAGCCCGGGTTACGGGCTGATTCCATGGGATTTAAGTGCGCTGCATTCCGTCTCCACAGCGGTTTTGCTCTGTCCGACACATATAACCCACTGGGTCTGTTTCTGAGCGCAGCCATGAGCAGGTGTACTTCAAGGTTCACAAGATCATGCAGGAATAAAGAGAACATACCATCAACAGGTTACTTTTCATTCTGATAATGACTTGTTCATTTGGTTCCTGTTTTGGTGTTAATGATGATAAAGTGATGTGGTTAACGATCTGGAGTCAGTACATTGTGTTTTATTTTAAAATTGACCCGATGCGTTCCCTTGTCTGACTTCCTGTCTGGGTCGATCTGCTTTGTTCAGCTTGGGGCGTATTTGGAGCAGAGTGGCGTTGCTGGAATGTGCAGGAGACGGACCAAGGCACGTGCAGTGGAAGCACAAGAATCGAATAGAGAGGGCGCACACTGATCACGTGGAAACTGCCAGCTAGTTGACTTCAAAATTGTTGTGACAAATGCTAAAAATCTACATTTGAAAAGAGACGGGATTTGTTCATCTTTAAAACTTCTTTCTTGCTCTGGAACATGTGAGCAACAGCAGCTGCTCTGTTTTGTCCCACAGCGAGTCTTTAGAGAGAGAAATGTAATTTATCCCTTCAAAATAACGTTTTCAATCTGCAGAACATTTTCTGAGATCACAGTTTGGGGAATAATCCATCAGAATCCGATCCTGTACGCCTGCTGCTCCTTTAAATATCAGTGCAGAGAGAAAAACCTGGTGTCTGCATGTGGTCTGGTTGGTGTGTGTTTGTGTCTGTCAGTTAGTCAGTGTGTGGCCTGTGTGTGTGTTTCAGAGGAGGGGGTTTAACATCCTTCAAATGAAACATTAGACAGGTGTCTGGAAAAAGCTGAGTCTGCACTTTTACATCCTGCTCTTCCCTTCCTGCCTCGTCTTCCTCTTAGAGCCATCACTCACTTTTCTGTTTTCTTTTTCTCTGACTCCACCATGGCCCTCCGATGTTTCTTCTTCTTCTTCTTCTGTTTCAATAAAACCAAAGCCTTCTACTTACTTTCTTTCTGGATCTCTTCCTATTTTTAAAATGGAACTCTTTGGAAGTTCAGTTTTCTCTTTTGCCGCCAGAATTTTCTACAAAAACATCAAAATGCACCAAAATGTATTCAAGATATGAAAACCTAAATCATTAAAGCTGGTTCACCCTAAAAACCATGGTAACCAATGACAACGCCTTCCCACTCCCAACATGTCAAAGCCTAATCACTTTCTGTATGGTTCAAATAAAGACAAAATAGTCAACATAGAAATAATTAATTCATACAAGAACCTGTTTGTTTCTCAAATCCATTTCCCGCAGAGTTCCGTCAGCGGCACTACCTCCGGAGCGGATAGCGCCCCCTCTAGTCAATGCTTGGTTTCTGCGTTAGCTTGCTCTGCTAGCTCATTTTGGCATGACCTATGACAAGTTGTGTCCATTTTATTTGATCATAAGTCTCTAATGACATTAAGTAGTAGTAGCAAAGAATTCAATTATTAAACACTGCCGTGATTTGGAAATTAGGTCTGACCAAAAAGAATCAGGCTTTCAATAGAGCAGTGTGATCATTTAGGGAAAGAAAGCTGTTCAAAAAAATCTCTGCAATTTGTTTTTACAGTCTTTCTCTCTCCGGAGAATTGTGTGTAACTTTAGATCGGTGGAGTTGAGGGGAGATTTTCCTCAAACTGTCGGGGAGCCAATCACTCGAAGCGGACGACGGGCGCTCTCTAAAGGGACCAATCATTAATCAGTCACTGTGACACTGGACTGATGACCCGCCATCTGTCAGAGAGAGAAGGTTTTTGAATTTTGAATCTTTACTTTTTCTCTCTTTTTTTAATTACTTGGCATTTCGGTTTTCAAGAAAAAAGAATCTATAATTCATGATAATTTAATACAATTTAAAAATAGATATATATTTCCAAAGACGAAAGAAAAATAAAGTGGGATGAACAGAAAGATAGCAAATAGAGAAGAGGTGACAGAGAGAGGAAAAAAATTAAAGTTTGCAAGAGGTGAGGGCAGACAAAGAACAAATCATTGAAAATAAGACCGAAGAATAAAGACTTGTTTTTTTCTTCACCTTTTTTTGTACTCCTCTATTTCATTTCTTTGTTTTAAATTCATCGTTGGGTCAGCACACTCTTCATGCAACTGTTTTCATAAAATCAATCTCATGGTTTTTAAATCTGTTTTCTAA